AATCAGGCCTTTAGGGTCTGTGACCCTCAAGGTCGGGCCTTTAGGCCCTGGTGTGTCCCTCCGGCCCTAAGTCGGGTCCGGTAGGACCCGTGTGACTCGAAGATGTAACACACACACACACTATACACTCTGTTGACGTCAGCAGCTTGGCAGCTATGGCCGCCGTCGTCTTCCTCCTCTTAGCTATGGCCGCCGTTGTCTTCCTCCTCTTAGCTATGGCTGCCGTTGTCTTCCTCAGCCCACTTCAGCTTCGGGCACCTGCAGACCTCCACTGCACAAGTTGCTCCAGCAGCGCTTCCGCATGGCTCACAGGCGAATGAATGAATGACTGAAGGCTGCCTCTTTATTTATACTGTGTCGCAGGTGGTCTGGCCTGCCCCAGCGCTGGGCCAAAACGTGTGGGCCTGGAGGGCCCAAACCGCGTGGGCCTGGGGATGTCCCAAAATGCGTGGCCCAGCAGGGCCCAAAACCCGTGGGCCTGAGAGCCCCAAAACGCGTGGGCCAAACCGCATGGGCCCTCACCTGGTAGTTGCTGACTGGACGAGGTGGTCTAGCCCAGCTGCTGACTCAGACACCGTATTCTGGATGTACTACCTTCTAGAAACCTACAGACTGACTACCTAAGCCTAACGGTAGCACACTAAACTGCTAACACGAAGATCTATGGATCAAGACCTAACGACAGACTAACACACAGACTAACTAACCTGTGAGGGATTTAGGGACAGGTCATGGGTTCAATTCTCACACAGGGTTCAGGGTCAATGTACAGGGTCAGGGTCAATGTAAAGGGTTACGGGGTAGGTCTACGGATCGAGTCCTGGTGTCTGCATGTGCCGGGTAAACTGGGTGAAACCGTTTCAGCCCCTCTGCAAGGGCAGCAAGAGTGTGTACTAGACAAAGGCAGAGTATTTGGAGCTTTGGCCGACCGAGCAATGGCCAGAGGCCCAAGCTTGGGCGTGCTTCCTTTGGATTGACTGTTGATATGCTGGCTTGGAACGGGAGGGGGGCAGGGGGGTGGAGGAAGGAAGGACGGTTAGGAACTGAAGGACTGAACTCACCTTTGGACCCCATCCTAGAGTGACGACAAGTGAACAAATTGTGACAGGGTCCATATTTGTGACGGGGTCCACAGTTGTGACAGGGCCAATAATTGTGACAGGATCCATAGTCGTGACCAGGTGGGCGTGGATAAATTTTGACGGGGTCAATAATCCTTGACATGCCATAAAGACTTGGGATCCTTGTACAGGATTTACCCCATGATGAGTCATCGTTCAGTTTCTCAGTGGATCTTGTCCGCTGTGCCAGACCGACGTGGGCCCTCCCCACTGCCAGATGAGCACACAGGGAACCTGAGCCCGTTCCTGCTGATGTTATCCTGCTCTGGGCACCCAGTGTTGGCTGTTGTACGTTGGGAGAGGGAGAGAGAGGCCAGGCAGCAGTTAACATCTGGTTGATAAGAGCGAACTATGAGACCATGTTCCCCGGGGGGGGAGGGGGGTGCGCATGAGAGAGAGAGAGAGAGAGAGAGAGAGAGAGAGAGAGAGAGAGAGAGAGAGAGAGAGAGAGAGAGAGAGAGAGAG